AATATATATATATATATATATATAAGATTTTATATTCTAGTTTTACGTGAAAATCCCACTCATAAATAGATAAATGAAAAGGGTATGATAGTCAACAAAGTTTTCTGTGAAAATTTTGATAAGAGCAAAAAAATTCTTCTGCCTAGTCTAGTAAAGACCAGACCAAGTTATTTAGAATTCTGTTGGATTTAGGAAGTTGTGGCTTACTAGTTTCTTTCAAACCTTTACATGAGGGGTTTTTAGTCTTCATGTTGCCTATTGTTAGAAAAATTGTTGATTCAATGAATTTGTGTTCCATTTATTAATATGTATAATGTTTACTTATAATTATTTAAATATTAAAATTTTCTCTCCTGAATACAAAATTACTTTAATTGATTTTTTTACTTTTAAAGCTTATGTTTTAGTTGATATCAAGTTTTTTTTTTTTAATCATTTATCGCCTTTTTTGGCTTGAGAGTTTTTTTTTGTTGTTGTGAGTTCTAAGTAATATCAACATCAATATATTATCAACTTCAACATTATTTTTCACGAAGTGCCACAATCGGAGGAGAGAAAATGACCAATCAAATATTTATTTATCATAAACAACCGGTTCTCTAACTCCCTCCGTTCGAGGTTAAGAGAGAGAGCCAGTATGGTCGTTCCCTAACAAAACATAAATCCCAAGGAGCGATACGCTAAAATAACACAACGATAAAGCTTGTTAAAGCCTGTATTTCACAGTTACATTAACCACAGCTTCTTCCTTCAGCTACCTAAACTGGAGTAAAAACAAGAGAAATCACACCAACCGTACAGCTGATTTGTCATCTTCTAATGAACAGGCCGTCATCTTATTTGCAGCAGGTAAGCGCCTTACCTGAGAGTTAATAGAAGAAAAAGTAAACCTATTGTGCAAATTGTTATACAGGATTCAATATATTAAAAAATATATAATTAATATGGCTCCTTGATTATATGTTCTACCATTCAAATCATTATACAGTCAAGAAACTGATAAATCAGCTTAGAATATTCAATTGCTTCATCAAATAATCCTTAAAAAAAAGTAGAGAGAGAGAGAGAGAGTACTCTGTACCTTCTTCATTTGTTGAGCAAGCCTGTAACTTTACGTTCAAAATTTCAGTAGTAATATGAACCTGGGAGTTTAAAATGAATCAGAAACAAAATTCACCGAATACCCCTTCCTTGCTTGTTTAAGAAAAATACCTTGCCACCAGTCACCTCTTGTGGCAACTTCTGAATTCCCTAAATCATCCTCTTTATTATTCTTCTTGTACTGAGCATTCCAAAAACAGAATAGTTTAAATTAGTAAGAAGTGTCATTTTTCCTACACCAAAAATGGAAAAAAGAATTAAGGAATTATTTTTTTTGGCTTAAAATTTGAGTAACTTAACACTGTAATGTGCTCCAGAATTCTGAGCAGCCGAAGTCTGAGGAATGTAGTCATCTCGGCCACCATAATATACAGAAGAGCTCATGAGACATGATTCTGATAACTCATGAAGGCCGACGGTTTTATTACTCTTTTTGGCTGTGCTGCCCCGAGAATTACCCCCTGGAATTAAAATTTTGCAATTTTTGAGAATTCTGCTATAGAGATTTCCATATTCAGTTTTCTTCTTTTGGGGTTTGAAGGAATTGGAAGCAATGCAAGTTTATTTTACTTCAAAATTTCATATTACTTGTTTGATTTTAATGCAGTTCATGTTGGTAATTAGATTTACTTAAAACTTAAAACAAAAACTCGGTTTCTAATCAACCAGATAAGAGAGAGAATTCTGCTATAGAGATTTCCATATTCAGTTCTCCTGTAGATAATACATACTGGAGGCAAGATAATGAACGAAGTAAACTAAGTAAAATTCTTCTACAGAGAAACTTAAAAGCAACATCTCAAGTAAAAACTTTAAGAAAAACTTAAGTAGAGCTCAGTATACAAGAAATTTTACCCTCAGTTTCGGTATTCCTCCACGAAGCAGGCCACTCTGAATTATTTCCAGCCACCTAAAATAAGAGAGCAAGTGAATGTCGCATAGGCAGAATAGCTGCTCTAGAAAAATACAAGTCCATAGAATCCTCAATCCCATGCTAATAAAATATTTTTCAGAAGCAGGATAGAGGACTGCGTCTGCTATACAAGCAGAGGAAACAGAGCAAATAAGTTACCGTTGAGAGTGGGGGAAAAATAGAGCCCAAGCTCTCATACTTGGCTGTCTTTGCTGCCTCATTTTTTATAGGAAAAAACTCATCCACAAATGATTTCCTCCCTGCCATCTCCTCTCAATCTCTACCTAATACGCCGAAGGAGAAGAAGAAGAGAAGAAAGCAGTGTTTCCTCCCTGCCATCTCCTCTCAATCTCTACCTAAATACGCCGAAGGAGAAGAAGAAGAAGAAGAAGATAGCAGTGAAGTGAGAAGTGCAGGAGAAGACCAAGAAGGGTCTGGGAGGAGTGAATGCTGCTGTCTTGCTTGTTCCTTTACGCCCCCGAACCCCATTTATAGATTGGCTTGTTTCTTTTCTCTCTCCTCAAATCGTAAAACTAATTCTTTTCCAAGTCTGTTTCGCGTCCGTTGTGTTAGCGCGGCCTGGGTTAAGAAAAGGCAAATTACTGCTCGCAAATGCTGGAGAGTAGAAACGGAGATGTTTATTTTATTTTATTTTATTTTATTTAGATTATTTAACTATTTAGGGATAAAAATAAGAGATTATCCGCTATAAATCAATACTAAGTTTTAAACATAGGGTTCAAATAGAAAAAAAAAAAAGCGAAGATGTTTATTTTAAGTTTTTTTCAATTATAATTTTTATTTTACGGATAGGCATTATATGACATGGATGAATCTAGGGCAGAATATATATATATAT